CCAATTAAATCTTCCCACCTGGAAAATATCGGAATTAAAAAAAAAAAAAACCACCTTAGACACGTCGATTTTCTTTTCGACACGTAATGGCGTAAATTTTGGTGTCTTGGAAGCTACCCCGTAGGCAGAGGTATAAATTACCCTTAAACTTTGAACGGCACCCTATGATGAGTGATACCACATTTTAAAGCTTTTTCAATTCTGCTCACGACAACATAGGACTTTTTAAGTTTTGGTTTGGACATGACAATGTATGAAAGAATGTTATTTTTAAGTCTTCTTCAAATTAGTTTCCCTCCGCTTCCATACACTAATAAAATCTTTGCTCCACTTTCGAACGAACATTTTGAAGCAGTTCGGGCGTTATCTGACGACATTCTTCAGCAATTCGCCGATAAAACTCAAGTGAGTTCGGTTGTGTTGCATAAATTTTTTACTCTAAGTGTTCCCATAAAAAAAGTCTAAGGGCGTTAGATCTGGCGATCTGGGAGGCCACTCAATTGAACCTTTGGTTTTTATTTTAATTCCGATATTTTCAAGGTGGGAAGTTTTAATTGGAACACCCTGTATTGCTTGGTAGTTTTAAATTTGACCATTTAAAATTTAAAAAAATTGGTAAATATAAACAGGTTTCAGTATTCATAAAATAATTTCAGGTCATAGTATTGGTATCGGTGACACAATTGCCGATCCTCAGACGTACTTGGAAATTCAAAAAGCCATTAAAAAAGCCAAGGAGGATGTAATAGAAGTCATCCAGAAAGCGCACAACATGGAGTTGGAGCCTACCCCGGGTAATACCCTACGTCAGACGTTCGAGAACCAAGTAAACAGGATTCTGAATGATGCTCGTGACAAAACCGGCGGTTCTGCCAAGAAATCCTTGACGGAATACAATAACTTAAAGGCTATGGTGGTATCGGGATCCAAAGGATCTAACATTAACATTTCTCAGGTAAGTAAAAGAAAAATGGCCATCGATACGAGACGTTAATTTATTTTCTTTCCCAGGTTATCGCTTGTGTGGGGCAACAGAACGTAGAGGGTAAACGTATCCCGTTCGGCTTCAGGAAACGTACCTTGCCGCACTTCATCAAAGACGATTACGGTCCCGAATCTAGGGGATTCGTAGAAAATTCGTATCTTGCAGGACTGACCCCGTCAGAGTTCTATTTCCACGCCATGGGAGGTCGTGAGGGTCTCATCGATACCGCCGTAAAAACCGCCGAAACCGGTTACATCCAGCGTCGTCTGATAAAGGCTATGGAGTCCGTGATGGTGCACTACGACGGCACCGTCAGAAATTCGGTCGGGCAGCTCATCCAGTTGCGTTACGGGGAGGACGGGTTGTGCGGTGAGATGGTAGAATTTCAAACGCTACCGACCGTGAAATTGAGCAACAAGGCGTTCGAGAGGAAGTTCAAATTCGACCCGAGCAACGAGAAGTACCTCCGCAGGGTTTTCAATGAGGAAGTCATTAAACAACTCATGGGATCGGGCGAGGTGATATCCGAACTGGAACGGGAGTGGGAGCAACTGCAAAAGGACCGCGAGGCTCTCAGACAGATCTTCCCGAGCGGCGAATCGAAAGTCGTACTTCCCTGCAACCTACAACGCATGATTTGGAACGTACAGAAAATCTTCCACATCAACAAGCGGGCCCCCACCGACCTCTCCCCCTTGAGAGTCATACAGGGTGTGAGAGAGCTCCTGAAAAAATGCATAATAGTGGCGGGAGAAGATCGTCTCTCTAAGCAAGCCAATGAAAACGCCACGCTCCTCTTCCAGTGTCTCGTGAGGTCCACCCTGTGCACGAAATGCGTATCGGAGGAGTTCAGGCTCAGCACGGAGGCTTTCGAGTGGTTGATCGGTGAAATCGAGACGCGATTCCAACAGGCCCAGGCCAACCCCGGAGAAATGGTCGGCGCCCTCGCCGCCCAGTCCCTCGGCGAACCCGCCACTCAGATGACCCTGAACACTTTCCATTTCGCTGGTGTATCTTCGAAGAACGTAACCCTCGGCGTGCCCCGACTCAAGGAAATCATCAACATCTCCAAGAAACCGAAAGCTCCGTCTCTTACGGTATTCCTAACGGGCGCTGCCGCTAGGGACGCAGAGAAAGCCAAGAACGTCCTCTGCCGATTGGAACACACCACCCTGAGGAAGGTCACCGCCAACACCGCCATTTACTACGATCCCGACCCGCAAAACACCGTCATCCCCGAGGACCAGGAGTTCGTCAACGTGTACTACGAGATGCCCGATTTCGACCCGACCAGGATATCGCCCTGGTTGCTGCGTATCGAACTCGACAGGAAACGTATGACAGACAAGAAACTCACCATGGAACAGATCGCGGAGAAGATAAACGCCGGTTTCGGCGACGATCTCAACTGTATCTTCAACGACGACAACGCCGAGAAGTTGGTGTTGCGTATACGGATAATGAACAGCGACGACGGGAAGTTCGGGGAGGGGGCGGACGAGGACGTGGATAAGATGGACGACGACATGTTCCTCAGGTGTATCGAGGCCAACATGCTCAGCGACATGACGTTGCAGGGTATCGAGGCCATTTCCAAGGTGTACATGCACCTGCCCCAGACGGACTCGAAGAAACGCATCGTTATTACCGAAACGGGAGAATTCAAAGCGATAGCGGAATGGTTGCTGGAAACTGACGGGACGAGTATGATGAAGGTGTTGTCCGAGAGGGACGTCGATCCGGTCAGAACCTTTTCCAATGACATTTGTGAGATATTTTCGGTGAGTATATTGTGTTTTTTTCGATACAATTAGATATATAGTCTGTTTGAAGTTTCACTGCCATTATTACATTGCACGAACGAAAATTACGAGTAACGTTAAAGGTAAGTTTTCACTAGCGAAATTTGCTCTTTTAAGGGATGGAACATGAAATTGCCATTTGAAAGTATTTGAGGGGGGAAATCTTGACTTTTTTGGGGGAAGTTTCATTTTTGTTGGATATAATTGAGAAATATTTTTAGATATTTAAACGAGAAGATTTAATAAAAGAAATAACATCTCAGTTTGAAACAATTTTACAAAGAATAGTCTCAAAATTCCTAAAATTATCGCTTAATTTTACTAGAATTTTATAGCAAAAAATGAAATTAAATTAACTTTGTGGCGGCATAGCTAAAACAAATCAATTTTTTCGAAAGCTGTCATCAATAGTAGACATTTTTGTTAAATTTTCATTTATCAAAGCGAGTCAATTTTATTTTGTGTAAAATCTTCTATATATGGTGTCGCACTTAAATGTGGTACAAGCCTGTAGCTTCTTTGTTTTTTAACTGTAATGCTGCTGTTTTTATTAATAGTCCAAGCAAATAAAATTTTTGCTCGAATTTTTTAATTTGTTTATAACTATCGCACTTATTGTTAAAATTTTATAAAACCTATGACAAGTTGAGGGTTCTGTCATACTTTAAAAGTGTGCCAAAAGTGGGCGCTGTAGGTGCAATAGTTTTCGCACAATTCAATTTGTTTTTAACAGAGGCTCCAAAAGTTATGAACTTTAAGCCTCTGTACAGGCGTTAATTTTCAACCAAACATGATTCTGAAAGCGTCATGTAATCTTAAAGATGCAATTAAGCGATCTATTAAAAAATATCACTGTTTTTTGACACTGAGAACATTCTCAAATTGTGCATTAAAAAACCGTGCGTTTTTTGCTTATAAACAATTTGAATAAAATTGTTGTTATTTCTGCTACCTCACCAAAAATAGATACAATGGATAGCTGGCAAAAAAATATAAATTTAAAAAAAAAGCACCCTCTACGACCAACAGGAGCCAAGATAAGATTTTTTTTTTTTTGTAGCACAATTATTTATAAACATTAAGACTTGAATTTTTCGCAAAATAAAGTTTACAACGAACTGCCATTTCCCGTGAATTGCATTGAAAAATGTGGAAAATTAACTTCCTGAAGTTTTAATATATAAAGTTTTTTATTATATTTATTACTAATTTTATACAAAAAAATTTTTGCAACATAATCAAAATTAATTAAAAAAATATTAATCACAACCATTTTCAATAATAGATATAATGCAATATAATACAACAATTTAAAATTTAAATTTTTTTCTATTTTTATGAAAAATAACTTTTTAAATGAACTTCATTTATTTATTTAATAATAGTAAAATAATTCCGAAATTGAAATTTTAATTAATATTTCGTTTAACAATAATTTTTGTGACATTTTTGTAAATTAAAAAAAATTCAGTACAAAAGATGCATTTTTTCTGGAGTTCAGAGGCTATTCTACGAATTCGTTCTATGATGAATAGAAGCCGAGATATTGCAAAATTTTACAGCGCGCATCAATTTGAACTTTGGATTTCACTTTTCTCACTTTAAAAAATGGGCACTTTTTTGTTTTTTGCAATAACTTATTTGTTTATTAACCGATTTTAATTTAACAAGTCTCATTTTGTAGATAATTTTACTCCCTACAAGCTGTCTGAGAGTCANTGTCTACGCCTCCGCCTTGTGGTTGGATTTTATTGAAATAGTTTTTTGGGGTCCCCGGCTAGTGAGACTCTTGGGAAGGCGTAGAACGTTGTAATGTTGAGAACACTAATTAATATTTGACGAACTTATTAGCTTTCTTTTGTTTTATGCGAATTCTTTTTTGGGTTGAGACTTTTTGTAAAAAAGTCACAAAAACTTTCGTAGAATAAATAAAAGTCGGATTTATGGATTTAATGTGGCCCGAGATTCAGTTGTCGATTCGTTTGGTGGAGCGCGGTGTAATGTGGCTGACTAATACAACTAAAGATTCGAAAACTCAAAAATAAATGCAACTGCCGAATTAGTGCTACAATTGCTACTGACTGCTGTATGACGACCGCGAGGTGGTCTAATTAATTTTGGTCGGACGGGGGACTGAACGCCGTTCGCCGCTGCCTGCGACGTTCTGTAGGGCCCCCTGCACGGAGCGATTTGTGCTCGTTTTACATTAGAATTAATGTAAAATCCTTGGTTCGGTGACAATATTGCAAAATTTTACAGCCCGCATCAATTTGAACATTGGATTTCACTTTTCTCGCACGCGCGATTCGCTTGGACGAGCTTCCCACACCACCACGCCGCACAGTGGGACGAAACGCCACTGTGGCATTCAAATTACTCTACACCCCACATAGTTCAACTGTTTCGGGTGAATTTTTTTTCAAAATGTTCGTCTTGAATGTCCCTATCGATCCCTCATTTGGGGTTTTTGATTTCGGTCCTCATTTTTTTGAAAATTGACTCCAAAATTCGATTTTTATGAAAAACACTGATTTTCAGTGCAAATGTGGTCCTACATGGCACAAGTTGATGTTTTTCGAAAATTTTTTCAGCTGAAAACCTTTGTTTTGATAAATACTACAAAACTGTCTGTGTGAAAGTCAGGAGAAAAATTTTTCATATTCGCAAAAACGGTCATAATGTTCCAAAAATTTTCGTGGAGAAGCGATTTTCTAATTCGAAATTTTGCAACCTGAAGAAAAATTAGATGAACCAAAAGTTGTTTAGAATCACTTGAGGAATACTCAAAAAAATTTTCCAGGATTTTTGTATATATTTCAAAATTTTTGGATTTGGACATTTTTTGAAATGTCCCAAAATGTGTCCAAAAATTCTGGAAAATTTATTATCAGGTGCTTCTTGTAAAAATCTCTCAATTTCCTCTTTCGTTAGAATTCTGGATTTTTTCGGATGGTATCCAACTGATTTGCTTTTCAAATATGGCATTAATTTTGGAAATTTTCTGATATTTACATTTTTTTTGGTATTCAGTGTACTTTTTAACATGGAATATACTGACCATAACGTTGAAGCAGGTTTAATTTAATGTTCAAAATATGCCGCTTTAGACACTTTGAATTTTCTTTGAACTTTGAATTCATTGTCGGCAATCTCGTACTATCTTGACGATTTTTTGGAGATCAGTTGTGAAACAGCACTTTGTGCCACTTCCAATACTTTCCCTGGGAAATGCTTGTCTTCACTTTCCAAGCCCATTTTGAATGAAACGCTTTTAAAATATGAATTACAATATATAATTCTAACACTATTTTTTCAAACAACTAATTTTTATTGTTATTAGGTTGCTATCGTTATCGATCCTAAATCGTCTTGATTCAAACATGGTTCAAACGATTTCAAATATAAATTAAATTGTTATATATAACACGATTGTCTTATTTTATTGCAGTTTTCGAAAAAATATTGTTTGCGTTTCGAACGCGAAATGCTACTGCGTTCTCGAATGCATATTTTAAATAAACTAACTTCTATCTCTATTCTTTCTAATTATAAAATAACTTCCATTCTTGAATGAAAAAGTACCATTTCGCGTTCTAGATACAAAAATAACTATTGTGTCCTGTGAGTATGACAAGAAAATCAAAAGTACAAAAAACCGGAATGCACCATTTTAAGGGTGGAATATGAAATTATCATTTGAAAATATTTGTAGAGGGAAATATTAACTTTTGAGGCAGATTTTATTTTTGTTGGATATCTATTGTTGGAAAAATATGTTTACAGAATTTTAAATGAAAAAATTTAATTAAACAACTAAGTCAACGAAACTCTTGCTTTTTGAGCACTGTATTAATAATTCGAATCGATACTTGATTAAAATTGATCATAAATGAACATCGGTTGTGCGTCCAAACTTATGCTAAACATTTTAAAATGCAAAGAGAAAAACAAAGTTGTGGTAACCAGAAATACTTCCGATTAACACAATTTACAGACACCAACTATTCCTTGTGCTAGCAACACACCACTGTCATTCTGTTCTGTAATTGCCTTATTACACGTTATCAACTTTATCGAATTTTACTGACTAACAAAACTAGTTACTTTATTAAAACTGAACATAAACATTCAAAAATGTGTATTCTGTGCACAAAATTGATGGGGTAACTATTTGTACATTGACTTGAATACTGAATTATGACAGTCAAACTTCTAACACTCCGTATATAACTTCATATTATTCTCAGGTGCTTGGAATCGAAGCCGTCCGTAAATCGGTGGAAAAAGAGATGAACGCCGTACTGCAGTTCTATGGCCTTTACGTAAACTACCGACATCTGGCCTTACTTTGCGACGTGATGACGGCGAAAGGTCATCTCATGGCCATTACCCGTCACGGCATAAACAGACAGGATACCGGAGCCTTGATGAGGTGTTCCTTCGAGGAAACCGTCGATGTACTGATGGACGCCGCCTCGCACGCCGAGGTAGACCCGATGAGGGGCGTCTCCGAGAACATTATCCTCGGTCAGTTGCCTCGGATGGGTACCGGCTGTTTCGATCTGTTGCTGGATGCCGAGAAGTGTAAAATGGGCATTCCTATTCCACAAGCGCATGGCGGCGATATGACTTCGGGGATGTTCTTCGGTTCGGCCGCTACGCCTAGCAGTATGAGCCCCGGTGGGGCCATGACTCCATGGAATCAAGGGGCTACTCCATATGTTGGAAGTGCTTGGTCGCCACAAAGTAAGCATTTTTTATTATTCTTGCTTATTTACAGAAAAACGCTCGGGCAGTTTTTTTGCAATTCTGAGGGAAAACATTTTTTCTTCCTTTCTCAGCATCTCAAAAAAAAAAATGATTTTCATTTATTCTGAAAAAATTTATTATTTTGCCGTGTATATTTTACTTTTCAATATGTTTAAATTTTAATGTTGGATAATGGCAACAAAAAAATGTGTTTTTTCGCAGATCTAATGGGAAGCGGCATGACCCCCGGTGGTCCGGCATTCTCGCCTTCTGCCGCTTCGGACGCATCAGGAATGTCGCCAGCTTACGGAGCATGGTCCCCGACACCTCAGTCCCCGGCCATGTCTCCTTATATATCGTCACCACACGGTCAATCACCGTCATACAGTCCTTCCAGTCCAGCTTTCCAACCCACATCCCCATCCATGACACCCGTTTCTCCGGGTTATTCCCCGAGTTCCCCCGGATATTCCCCAACCAGCCCGAATTACAGCCCAACGAGCCCCAGTTATTCACCTACCAGTCCTAGTTACTCTCCAACTTCTCCTTCATATTCTCCGACAAGTCCTAGTTATTCTCCGACGAGTCCTAGTTATTCTCCAACTTCCCCGAGTTATTCTCCTACTTGTCCCAGTTACTGTCCGACTTCTCCGAGTTACTCCCCTACTTCTCCAAGCTACAGTCCTACTTCTCCCAGTTACTCTCCAACTTCTCCTTCTTACAGCCCAACCTCGCCAAGTTATTCCCCTACGTCTCCTTCATACAGTCCAACTTCTCCGAGTTATTCTCCAACTTCTCCAAGTTACAGTCCTACTTCTCCAAGTTATTCTCCAACTTCGCCTAGTTATTCTCCTTCTTCTCCGAGATACACCCCGGCATCGCCCAGTTATTCGCCAACGTCTCCATCTTATTCCCCATCTTCTCCTCAGTATTCCCCAGCTTCTCCGAGTTATTCTCCGTCTTCTCCAAAATATTCCCCTACTTCGCCGAGTTACTCACCTACTTCACCGTCGTTTGCCGGTGGAAGTCCTCAATATTCTCCGACTTCTCCGAGCTATTCGCCTACTTCTCCCAGTTATTCTCCATCGAGTCCTCAGCACACGCCAGCGGCAAGTTCTAGATATTCCCCATCTTCTCCCAACTATTCGCCCAGCTCTCCCAGTTATTCGCCCACTTCTCCTCAATATTCTCCTCACAGTACAAAGTATTCTCCCACTTCTCCTACTTATACACCTACAAGTCCTAGTTACTCGCCGGCGTCTCCCGCGTATTCGCCTCAGCCACCTAGATATTCACCTTCGTCACCTAGTTACTCGCCCACAAACCAGGATCAGGATTGAATAGATCGAGGATAAACAGTTATCACATTTTTGCTATTATATCTATATTATTTACTCTGAAACTGGAAAATAAAACAAATATTTGGTAAATATAATTGTGCAAACTCCTTAACGGGAGTTTTAGATTTAAGACTGTATTTTTATATGAAATAGGTCATTTGTCGTTTATATTTTTAAAATAGTGTCTTATTTAAAAATCTATGTGTAAATATGTATAATTGTTATTTGAATAAATAACATAGTCACACTTAAGTCTTTTTATTATTATTTAAATCCACTCCGTGATTTATCAATATACAGGGTGATTCAGAAATGGTGAGCAAAAATAGAACCTCATGGTCTTTGGTGATTTTAAGGGGAGTTTGGTATAAAGTTTTTATCTAGGATGCTTTGTTAAAAAGATACAGGGTGTTAAACTTAAAAAAATATTTAATTTTTTTTAAATAATTAAGAACTAGTAAGTGAAATAATTTGAATTTGGGCACACATGTAAAAATTGTCTAAAATCTGAAGCCTTTTCCTAAAATTTAGGAGTTACAGGGTATTGGTGCCATATTTTTCTAAATAAAATAGTACGCCATTGCTTTATCAAATCATGATATTTTCGGATTAGTCTATCAATTTCCTACAAATTACTACTCATATTTTTCGAAAAAAAAAGACTAATTTTCCAGTAAAACTTAAGAAACAAACGAAATATAACCCCCACAGAATCTACTACTTTTCAATATGGTCGTCTTGCTCGAGGTTACGTTGTGTTTATTACGAGCCTGCGAAGCAAGAAGAGCGCCAGAAGAAAGGGCCCTAGCCGGCGGGGCCCAGCCAGGACAAAAGGAGGTCCCACAAAGCGCCTACACCG